TGGATTGATTCGCTTCTAAAAGATGCTCGTGCTATTAGCCGCCACACCTGGGCGTCGCGTTACACTGTTCCAGACCTCCCCATGCCCTTAACGCCGACACTACGATGGCGTTAGGCTCTGCCAAAAACGTCCCCTCCGCTTTTGACGCAATTTACGGGCGGCCCCTAATACGTAATTATGTCAGAAAGCATACATCATCAGTGGCTACCGATATGAGCAATGCATGATCTGCTTCTCTTCTGTGCTTCGTGGTAAGGCAGGCAAGCTGGTTAGTCTTTGGATTCGAGATCAAATTGGTAAAGATCTTACAAACTGCAATGATGCACAGTGGCATGGCAATGTTACCATTTTGCATGTTAACAATGTTGGTTAAGATACCACCCTTTGAACCACCATTAGTCATGTCAGATATTGATAGGAGTATATATAGATACCAGATAGGAGTAAAAACGGGCAATATTGGGGTCATGCATTGGTCACCTTCGCTGAGCAAATGCTCGGGCTGGGCTCCCAACCTTGCCGGGCATGAAGCCGACTCATGGCTGGTGGCCGCGGCATGGTCTCAGTGAGAGCAGGTGTTGTGAGGAGGAAGGGGAAGGGGGGGGGGGGGGCGGTAAATGAGAGTGGGGGAGTTGACATACACAACAAAGCGCTACAATTTAACGCTCGTTTTCCGGCGGTCTCCATTTCTCACTTGTTCACTCTCCAGTCATGTCTCTGCGCTGGTTCGTCCACTTGCAATCCATCTTCTGGCGGTCTCAAGACGTGGTTCGTCCAGCATCTGGTCATGCTTCCATGTATGTGCCGTCCGCCACCCTCCCGCGTCTCCACCGTGAACCCGTCTATTTGTCGGCTTTGTCTCCAATCCCTAACTCGCCTGTTCACCGGCTCTGATTCCACTCCCTGACTCGCCTTTTCGTCGGCTGTGTCTCCACTCCCTAACTCGTCTATTCGTCGGCTGTGTCTCCACTCCCTAACACGTGTATTCACCGGCTGTCTCCACTCCTCAATTCGTATTTTCGTCGGATGTGTCTCCACTCCCTAGCTTGTATATTCTTCAGCGGTGTCTCCACTCCCCAACTCGCCTATTTATCAGCGGCGTCTCCACTCCCTAACTTACATATTCGTAGGCTGTCTCTCCACTCCCTAACTCGCCCATTGCTTATGTCTCCGCTCCCTAACTCGTTCGTTCCGTGCTCGTGTCATCCCATCGAGCATAACTCGTCGCCTGTCGCCCATACCACCCACGCAACCAAACCCATCTCACCAAACCCAACTCACGTGCCGCCGACAGACCCTGAAGAAGCGCAAGTACCTCTGCGCCACCGACTACGACGAGGGCTACTTCGACTTCCACTGCCTGCCGGACGGCCGGCGGCCTGCGCACGGCGCCCGCTGGTACACCGCCTGCGGCGTGCCCTTCACCAACCGCGCCGAGTACGTCTCCATGGTGTCGGCCGTCTGCGTGTTCGCGCTGCTCGTGTTCTACCAGTGTCTGTTCCGCTCGGGGCCGCAGGTGCAGCCGGCGCGACAGCAGAAGATGAAGCGGTTCTGAGGCGCGCGGGCTGACGCCGCCGGTCAATACACGACGCCAGGTCGCGTGGGGGATGTTGTATTATGAAGAGGCAGACGGAGGCGTTCACTGAGCTGACACGGGGCGCGTGGCGCATAAGGTGACCTTTTTATCATGTCATACAATGTACTCTTAACGTATGAAGGAGACCGAAAACGATGACTCAGGTTGCAAACAACCCCTTATCACCCTGAGCAGCTGACGTGGGCTATTGCTGCAGGTAACAAACACCCGTGTGGAATACGAAGCACACCTACATAATCTAACATCAACTTTTGTCCAGGCCCTGTTGTGAGGGTAGGCAATGCCTCGCGTCTGGTTCTGTGCTGTTCCATTTCTATTCCCTGGGTACTTTCGCCTTGCTGAGCCTCAGATTATCCCGATCTACCAGAACGGAAAATATCATATTCGGCCTAAACTACGCCGAATACAGATATCTAACGGCGCCGGGTTGTGACACGCTGGAGGCGTATAGTAGCGAGCACCGACACTCAAAGACTTGCGCAGCTGAAAGCCGTCCTATGGGAGCTTCCCTGGGGTGCAGCGGACAGCACCGTTGCTATGCTGAGACGAGCGAACAACACCGTTGCTATGCTGAGACGAACGGACAATACCGTTGCTATGCTGAGACGAACGTACAACACCGTTGCAATGCTGAGACGAGCAGACGGCCGGTTCAGAGGGAAAAGTTCGTGGGAGCTTCACGGTCAGACACGCCAGAGACACTGCCCATTCATGTCGAGGATATGTTGTCAGGGTCCAGGCCAGGTTCTCGGTGAAGTATTACGGCCAATAGGGGCCTGCGTGGATGGAGAATGGCGTGAAAGACGCGTTGTTGCTATCGTTGCCCTTGACTGGGATGGCCTGCGGTCAGTGGTAGCTGTCACGCTAAAGGTCGGATGACGCCAGAGGGCAGGCCGGATCGTGCCCGGTATTGAAGCACGTTTTTCGTTCGCCACTAAATCCCGTCAATGACCCGAAATTTCGCGATCGGGTGATAGGCCGGGCTCACGAGGCAATGTATTGCTTAGCGTGAACTCCGGTCCCAGAAACCAATCCAGTCATACGTTTGAACTCAATCTTAACAAAACGCAACCGCAGACACTTGTCGGTCAGCCCACGTGACCAGCACCGAGTGTCAAGAGGATGACACGACACATGACAAGTGCGAGCCACGTGATAAGACAGTTGCTAGCGACATCTATGGTGCGTGGCGATGGCACGGCGTTTTGATACGTAATAGTAGGTGGCGCTGCATTCAACCCGCCACTTCGACCACTGCCGGATCCTGGAAAGGCCAACAGTCTGGAGACTGGCACCTTTTGCTCTGGACGCCCGCGCTTGAGGGCAAAGGCTGTGTGATATACACTGAGCCGGTTTATGTTTCATTTTCGACTAATTACGAACGCGGCGGCATTAATCGAATATCATCGTAGCGACGCTAAACGGCCAGCATAGTGTTATCTTTGCTTCGCTCGACCAAAGAAAAGTTATCCGCTCGTATTTCCTCCCCACCAACTCATCTTGAGCCCACGCAGTGCTCCTTCTCTGAGGGGCCAGCTGCAGCTGTCAGCCATCATACCTTCCCTGGGTGGCCCGCTGCGGCCGTCAGCCATCAGCGGACTTCGGTGTCACCCAGCAACCCGTCCCGAGCACCCCCACAAACCCCAAAGGTGCACAGCACTGCAGCAGCAGTCGCAGATGATAGCAGCTTTGCTGAACCATCGCCTCCCTGTCATAGCCCCTAAATCGCTATGGCTAGCGGGAAGGACTCTAATCCAAACCAAACCAAAACCAAGGTACTATTAATAGACACTGCCATCGACCACACTTGCCAACCTGGCGTCGATTAAACGCACTGACTGTTGGCTGTCCACGTCTGCGACAGCCATTTCACACCACGTTGCGGGCCCCGTCCATGCGTGGGTGGGACACCAATGTTCTCTAGGGTCGTCTGTAGAAGTTTCTTCATGCCCCTCGACGTCACTGTGATAACACCCGATCAGAAGCCTGCCCAGTGGGTTCATGACGTACGTCACAGTCATGGAGCCGGGCGTTCCGGCAACTGCTGCAGCTCTCACGATCCTCTGCTATGCACCGAATCTAACATGTTGGTTACAATTTATTTCGGTGTACAAAGACCATGATCTTCTAAGCCTCCAATCACTCTTTCAAGTCTTTGTGCTAGATTGCAAAAAACTGACCAGTAGCACCAAGCGACCAGTGGGACACATTAGCATGTGTATTCTACCACTGTTGTGTGCACTTTGTTGTCAGGAACTGCTACCAATATCCTGTTCCCCAAAAATTGCAAATTGGAATTATTTTTGAAGACATACTTGTGATGAGCATGAAAGCCCTTGAGCTCCTAGCTTTTCAGCATTGTGAGTGTAGAGTTTGTCTGCTGACAGTTATCAATCTTCAATATACCAGGAGGTACTAGTTAAACAACATTATCAAGTAAACATTGGTGTACTTGGGGACAGTGTGACTTAGCTGCACAATGTTACAGTGACAAGATCATCTTCACAAGATCACTGCTGAAAGGTTGAGTATTGACAATGCAAACAATAGTTACTCGATAATATCATTAAACCAGTGCCCCCCAACCTAATGTTGGCCAACAGCTGTCAGTATAATAATTATTGAACTCATTACTTCAAAAGGCCCTCTGTCATTTCCTTGTATCCATGACAATGGGGCTAAATAACTTTATGATTTGATAGGGCACATCATAGTCAGCTTTGGAATATCTCTGACAGTTTAATTTACTCAGCTACCAACATGCATCAGCCCCAGTGTAAACATAGTGTTATGTGCTCATTGGAGGCCTATTAAGGCAGAAATGCTGGCAGGCTTTCTATGCTGGCAGTCTCATAACTAAAACAGCAGCGAGCTGTGCTTCACTCAAGAGGCTGTCCTGGAGTTTCAGTAGATGTAAATCATGTCACATTGTTGAGATTTTTGCTACTTATTCAGTTCTAAACATGTTCCAACCCTGCTGGTTTAGTGGTATATGATTGTAACTCAGACTGCAACATGGTGTTAAGCATGTGTTTCACCAATGTGTCACCCAGACCAGGAGCTGCATGGATTATAACATTAATTGTAAGGCTTCAGGGCATATGCCTGCTGACAAAACCAAGGCAATAATGCCACTTCAGTATAAAACTGGTGTTAGCACGTTCAGAAAATATTGAAGAAAAAGGTGCACGCAAAACATTTACAATGTATTGTTTTGCATGGTTCTGAGACATACTATGTAAGCATAACATTTATACAACAGGAATGGTCATAAAACATATTTATGACATCTGCCCAAGCCCAGTACAATAACACATCATACAAAGTAAAACAAGCAAGATCTATCACACAATGTCCTGTTTTGTAAGAGTTCACATTGGCCAGATGGCTACAGCTGGTCATTCTCCAAAGGTGCGAGAATTGCTTTCTTGAAATGATAGGAAAAAGCAGCATCAATGCTGATCATAACCAAACATCTTGCTCTGGTAGAGTTTAAAAACAGCACTAACTTCTTTGTACCTGAATGTGAAACTTGCACGCAGGCATGTGGGTGACTTCCGCAGTAACAACACAGTTCAGACCCAGGTTGGATAAAGCTCCTCTCATCATTCCACACATGTATGCAAGGTACTTGGGGCTTGACTCCAGGTACTGCTTTCCAGCTGACATATTTGCCAGAAATCTGAAGCGATTGTCCAGCAGCACATACACACCTTGGTGATTCGTGCGGAGGTTATCAATCTGCTTTCGATGAATGGCGAGCCAGAAATCTTTGCAGATGAATTTCATTGTATCCAATTCATCTTTGAATCTGGGCCACTCTCGGGTCAGCCTCTCCACGATCCTGTACCCTGCAGCAAACCCTATCCTCTCCAGTTTGGAGACAGCATTCTGGCCACCGTCCTCTTTCTTGGTTTCATGCTCATTTTCGATGATAAATGCAACAATTTCGTTGTGGAGAAACTCAAACAATGCTTCTTCTGCCATACTGCAAGCTGCACTTCTTCGGGAGCTCGTTTACGTGCAATCCGGGGTTCTCTGCCAGCCAAAAAGAGATCTACCAGGGATCCTGATAACGCGCAATTTAAAGATTCACGAAGTCGTCACTGATGGCCTTGGCCACTGGGAGAGGATATTTCCAGGACTGACTGTCCAAAACCCTCCCACAATGCCACCACGCACAGGCAATAACTCACGTCAAGCCAAAAATAGCCACTGTCGTTGTTGTTGTTGTTGTTGGTTTAGGGGCGCATGGCCTCTTGGGCTCAGGCGTCCATCGTCGAAGTGTTGTCTTACAAGTTTGGTAGCACAGGTGGTACTAAGCGCGACAGAGGATAGAAGGAATGTGTCGCACTGGTCAGGAATTTTCGTGCAGGATAGTGGTGTAGCAAGGAGGTGCAGTAAACGGTGTTTAGTTTCTAGAAAACTCGGTGTTAAATGTTCAGATACATAAACTGATTAGTGAACTAAAACAAGAGAACAAAAAATCCGTTTTTTTTTGGCCAGGCTCTTTTTTATCATTTTCTTTTAACCGCAGCTTCCCCACATGATAGACGTTGCAGGTTAGTCATCAGTCAGTCGGCAGTCACAACATTGCCGTTTAACAAAGCATTTACCAAATGGGAATTTCACATATCTGCCATGCCGTGTACTCTAACGCATGCACGCACATTCATCTGTCTTCACCATGCTCGTTCAAAACCTCATTCATGTAATCTCCTCTGCTTACGCACACACCCACGTATCACACATATACACATATTTGCTACACATAATTCCTATACCACTTCCTTGCTTCTCACATTTCTCAAGCATCCAGTCAGACATCGTACGCAGATATGCACGCAAGCTTAAATTATACATAGAATAAACAACTCATTTCAAACAATTACAATATAGTATAAACAACATGGCAGCAATCAATGACAGCAAAGCAAAAATTGCACTTGTCCCGCACGCAAAGGCAGCACTTCACAATTGTTTCAGTAGGTCGCAGTGTCGCAAATATTTCATCACTCCATCAATGATGTCCGGGAATTGATTTCCTACCAGCGACCTCACACAAAATTGTGCTCCGGACCGTTGACATAGTGTCACCAATGATCGTCTTTCGTGAAAATATACGGGACATTCAAGAAGAATGTGATACACTGTTAATGGACACTGACATCGTTCACATTCAGGTTGGAGGTTTCTATCTATCATGTATGAGTGGGTATAGCGAGTATGCCCAAGTCTCAGCCGGCACAGCACTATCTCTTCGCGTCGGACTGCTCGCTTACAGGAGACCCAGTCTCCTACCTCTTCTTTGATGCGTTTTAAATTAGTCCTAGGGTTGTAATCTGTCCAATATTTGTTGAATAATTCACGAATACTTCGACGCACTTTAGGAAAATAATATTTAGGACCCATTTGAATATTACACACGTCATTCAATCTTACAGCCATCTTTGCTTGTGCATCCGCTGTCTCGTTTCCACATATATTACTATGGCTTGGGATCCAGAGGACAATGATTATACTGCCCATTTCAATAAGCTGACTGACCGTCTCTAGTAAATGGATCACGATCGGGTTTTCAGAAGTCGGATTTCCCAGGGCTGTTATAATGGACAAGGAGTCTGTGCATATAACACATTTGAGGATGCGATTTGTATGTATATAATTCAGAGCCTGTAATACTGCGAATCCTTCAGCTATAAATATCGAACAAAGTTCAGGAAGTTTAAATTTTGACGTCTTTCACCGTGGACAAAAGCACATCCAACTCCGTCTGCACTTTTTGCTCCATCGGTAATATGAACTCGTATTCTGTATACCTGCTTCTCAAATCATTAAACTCACATTGAATTTGCACTTCATCTAGCGTTCTCTTGCTCCTGTTAGTCAACTTTATCAACGTACATTTACGTAATCTCCATGGCGGAACGACGCTGCGTTTTAAGGTCACCTCTTCTGGGAAATCGAATCCTGTTTCATGGCACATATCAAGTATTCTCTCACATAGCGGGAAACCAGAAATCCTTTTCATATATCCAGTCTCTACCTCATGTAACGCAGCCTCATTGGCCATAAGTTTTCTGCATGGATGATCCTCTCGACTTAGTATCTTCAGGGAATAACGGAGAGACAAGTCGCATCTCCTCAGTCTCAAGGGAAGTATGTCTGCTTCAACCATCAGTGGTAAAATGGGCGAAGTTCTAAAGGCTCCAGTAGCAATTCTAATGCATTCATTTTGAATAACATCAATCATTTCCACTGCCTTGTTACGGGGACCACCAAAAACTTGGCATGCGTACTCTAATATCGGTCTTATCATGGCTTTGTATATTCTCAATAGTGTAGAACGATCTGCGCCACAGCCTTTTCCAGATAAACATTTTAATATTGATATCCTTTTGACAGCTTTTGTTTTAATGTACTGCATCATCGTGTTTAAGTTCAGCCTAGAGTCCAGCATCACTCCCAAAAACTTGACGGTGTCGGTGTATGTTAACGGTTGGTTATATATATGTAAGTTAGGTATGTTCGTCATCTCTCTTGCTTTCATATACCTTCGAAATACAATTGCGTTGCATTTGTGAGGTGAGAAAAGGAAACCCCACCGATCAGCCCATGCACTCACATGGTTCAACGCCCCCTGCATTTTATTAACGAGATGAAAAATTCTCCTTCCCTGCACCCATAGAGAGCAATCGTCAGCGTACAGCGCTCGGGACACTTCACTCGGGACATTTCCACACACGTCATCAATCATGATGTTAAACAATATCGGGGAAATAACTCCTCCTTGGGCTAAGCCGTTTTCCTGTTCGAACGTATCCGATAATGTTCCATGCGCACCTGGAAGGTTCTGTTATCAAGGTACGATCTAATGAAATACATAAGGCGTCCTCTAAAAACCCATATTAAACATTTTTGTGAGCAAAGCAACTTTAGACGTGAGATTATATGCATTTTTAAGGTCCAAAAAAACAGCCAAGGTATATTTGTTGTAGAAAAAACCTTTTCTAAATCTCGGACTCTAGCCTGACTACATGGTCTGTGGTACTTCTTCCATTCCTAAATGCACACTGATATTTAGACAACATATTGTTCCGCTCAAGAAACCAGGATAACCGTCTGGCGACCATTCGTTCCATTATTTTGCTAAAACATGAAGTTAGCTGAATTGGTCTATATGACTCAGGGTTTTCCCTAGGTTTGCCTGGTTTCAAAATAAGAACAATAATCGAGTGTCTCCATTCATCAGGGATAATCACCTCCACACCATATGCAGTTCATCATTTCCAAAATTGAATGCAATTGTTCATCAGGTAGGTGTCTAAAAAACGCGTAATGTATCTCATCCGGTCCAATGGATGTATTGCCGCATTTAGCAATAGACATTTGTAGCTCAGTCATCGTGAATACATCATTATAAACCTCCTCATTGTCAGAAATAAATGACGGCATTGATCCATCATCTGCCATTCCAGCTCTCTAAAAGTGGCTCGGTAGTTCCGAGAGGACGACATGTCAGAAAACAGCCGTCCGAAGATATTTCCAACTTCAGTTGGGTCGTCAATTATGTTACCAGCCACCTTCAGAACAGGTAAGGGTCTCGCAAATCGCTCCTTTCTGGTAAATTTCCTAATGATGTCCCATAAGTGTTGTATCGGCGTATTCACATTGAACATATGCAATAGTTTTTTCCCACGAACCTTTCTTTGCCGTACGAATTATCCTTCTGGCTTTCGCCTTCGCCTCCTTATAAGCCAATAAAATGCAGATGTGTGTGCGAACGTCGGAATCGATTGAGCGCCCGTTTCCTTGCCCGAATTGCCTCCTTGCACTCGTCAGTCCACCAGGGGCAGCTATATTTGGTGTTTCTGATTTTCCGAGGAATACTTTCTTTTGCTGCTCCCAGCAAAACCTCGTAATGTTTTGGTAGTTTTGCATACCGTCCCTTTCATTGAATCGCAAACAACATCTGTCAGTAAATTCAGACCAGTTCGCCTTGTTAATATTCCAACCAATAAATTCGTCACGTCGTGGTGGAAATATCTCCATACCTATCATATGTAATATAAACTGGGAGATGATCACTGGAGTGTAAGTCAGTGTCCGTTTGCCAATGCATGAATTGTCCCACACTGCTTGACGTCACAGTCAGGTCGATATGTGACCATAATCCTGTGTACTCGTCCATTCTGGTTGGGGAACCATCGTTCATTCCCTTTAAGGCATGTTGCCGTATTATCATTTCCCACACCTTTCCACGAGAATCGCACCGGTCTGCACCCCATAAGAAATGCCGACTATTGGCGTCCGTGTTTATGATATACGGCTTGCGGTAGCTGTGTAACCAAGTCGTTCAGTTCAAGGTACGTCAAATTCTCGTTTGGTGGTAAGTATAAAGAACAAACACAAATACGAGAATGCCCCATTGTCACCGAACATGCCACCACCGCCCTGAAAATTAGTATTTAGTGTGACCTGAAAATGAGGTAGGTCGTTGCTGACGTAGATTGATGCTCCGCCTCGTCTAATATGTGCGTCAGAATAAGCGTTATAAAGAGTATATCCGGGGAATTCTGAAATCATATTGGTCAGTAGGGAGGAAGTGTGTCTCTTGGAGACATACGGCACTATGTGGTCTTGCCAGCAGCAGTGGTTTTATCTCCGCCCACTTTGAAATCACACACCTCTACAGTTCCACTGCATATGCTGAAAGTCATTTTATTGTTGCCTTAGACTGCAGACTCCGTCCAGTCAAGCACACACGCCGACAACAGTTCGACATTTATTGAACTTTTTAACTTGAACATCAGAAAATCACGCGAGTAGCCTGTACCGCGTACCATATCCCCACACACAAACATACAACCAATGCGCAGCCCGAACGCCGAAATCCAACAAAGGACCGCCACCAAAACATGAAAAAATCAGATAAATAAATTAATAAATTGCCAAACATCGGTATGTACTACTTGTCCTGTAACTGCGAACAAAACATCTCAGTACACACACATTTCCCTTTCCCTTATTCCCCTCCCCAGCCAGCCCCAACCCCGCGGTCGGGACCAGGCGCGCTCCGGCCGGTCGAGTGGAAATAGCGCCTGTACCGTTGCCCCCGGCAAGGATCACCCCGCACCCTCCGAAGGGTGACCTCCACGAGACAAACAACCTCAGCTCGTCCACCCCCTGACCCGAATTAGGTATCGCACCTGGATGTTTACCTTACCTCCGAGAACCAAGTGGGCTGGGACTAACCCAACCGGGCGACCTCTGCTCAAACCGAA